TTTTGAGAAAGTGCCATACTGCTTTCCACAGTGGTTGCACCATTTTACACTCCCACCAACAGTGAATAAGGGTTCCAGTTTCTCCACAACCTCTCCAGCATTTGTTGCTCAGAGACTGCCCATCTTTCTTCTAAGAAGCAGCTAGTGAATTCATACTGCTAACTTTCTGTTTCACATCCTAACATCTTATGCACAGTGCCACAGGGCTCCTTTGTCTGGCAACACAAAGGTATACAGTTCAAAGCCTCTAGCTGCTCTGTGGGTGTAAGATAGGCATTCTCCTGCCATGAGATTTACCATGTCTGAGAACTTGCTGGAGGGTTAGCTTTCTGTCAGATCCAACTTAACAGTATACAACAATAGTCTTATTTATCGAAAGGATTGAAGTTTAGGTTCACCAGCTGCTGCATGGGAGAAGGATGGATAGCCTCCTTCTGTGCGATTTACTGCTTCTGAAAATCTGCTGAAGGGTCAGGTATAAGTCTGTTCTGACTCGACCCTACACAATAACAACAGTCTTATTTATCAGCCTTTGCTCCTTATTTATGTTATTTAATAACACAAATAACAGTCTTATTTATCAGCCTTTTCTACTCTACTTCTTCAACAGACATTTTGTCCAAGGGGTTAATTTTGAAGCAAATGGAAAGAATCAAGATCTCCTGACTTTGTTGTCCTTTTTTATAAAGAAAGGACAACTGTAGATGTTTCGTGTATGTAGATGGTTGAGAGGTGATATCATTAGTCCTTATCATGCCCTCCCTCTCACCCCCTGACAGTGAGAGATTCCTGGCCCACACCACTCACACCACCTTCCTTCCCACACACTCATGAGCCAATTCTCTTGTTCTCTAGCTCTGCGTTCAGAACTCACAGTGGCAGCTGCAGTCCTGGTGCTGTTGGTGATTGTCATCATCTCACTTATTGTCCTGGTCGTCATTTGGAAACAGGTAGAGATTTTTCTCAGAGAACTCAAAATCTTTGATGCCCAGGTGAATACATGAATAGAAGCAAAGTTAATGCTTGGCAAAGGGAAGGAGCCCGGGCATAGGTTACACGCTGGATGAAGGTAGTCGAATGATCCTGTGTGCATATATGTGCTGATGCAACTGATTAAGCTTTGGTGAATTTGGACTTGGGTTACTTATCAGTTACCTGTCTTGATCATTTATAGAAACCAAGGTATGAAATTCGTTGGCGGGTCATTGAATCAATCAGCCCTGATGGACATGAATATATTTATGTGGACCCCATGCAGCTGCCTTATGACTCAAGATGGGAGTTTCCAAGAGATGGGCTAGTGCTTGGTAAGCTCTTACTGTGGTGTTCTCCCAAAACTCTGCACCCTCCTTTTTTAAAATTTTATTTTATTGGGGTTTTGGTAAAAGCTTATATAGAAGTTTATCTTCTCATTTCTACACAACATTTTCTACACAGATGGTTCAGTGACATTAGTTACATTCTTCATAATGTGTGAATGCTGTAAATATTTCCATTTTGATTGTTCAGTTTAAATTAATCTAGTTTCCCTGCCCTGTTACACCCTCATATTTGTTTTCATATAATTGTTGACTATGTATGCAATCTCATATAGATTATTTTTTTGAAGGAGTATAGTACTCATGAGTGAGATTCTCTTTTATTTTGTGAGCCAATATATTATTTAGCTGAGAAGTGACATCACGGACTAATTTCCACTCAAAGTTTAAAGAGTATCTTAGGTAATAGTCTTTCAGAGACTTCCAGTCAACTAGTTCAATAAGTCTGTCTTCTTTTTGAAACTGTAAGAACAGATCATATGAGACGCTGGGCTGTATGAAGAGGAATGTGGCATCAGGATTGGTGGAAGGGTCATCAAGAACCTGCGTTATGCAGATGACACAACCCTGCTTGCTGAAACTGAGGAGGACCTGAAGTGCTTGCTGCAGAAGGTCAAGGATTGCAGCCTCCTATATGGATTGAAGCTCAACATCAAGAAAACAAAGATTATCACCACTGGGCCAATTGGCAGCATCAGTATGGATGGTGAAGAAATTGAGATAGTTAACAGTTTTAGTTTGCTTGGCTCCACAATCAGCACTCTTGGTAACAGTAGCCAGGAAATCAAGAGACAAATTGCATTGGGAAAGTCAGCTGTGAGGGACCTCTCAAGAGTACTGAAGAGCAACAATGTCAGGCTGGATACTAAGGTGTGCCTGATCCAGGCTATAGTCTTCGCAATTACGTGCTGTGCATCAGAAAGTTGGACAGTGAATAGGGTTGATAGAAAGAGAATTGATGCCTTTGAGCTGTGGTGCTGGAGAAGAGTGTTGAATATACCATGGGCTGCTAGGAGAACAAACAGGTTTGTCCTGGAGAAGGTGAAGCCAGAATGCTCCTTGGAGTCAAGGATTCTGAGGCTTCGTCTAACATACTTTGGGCATGTTGCAAGGAGGGACTGGTCCTTGGAGAGGGACATCATGTTTGGCAGAGTGGAGGGGCAGCGAAGGAGAGGAAGACCTTCGATGAGATGGATTGATTCTGTAACTGGAGAGGTGGGAATGAGTGTGTTTGAGATGCCTAGGTTGGCACAGGATAGAATGGAATTTAGAGCTCTTGTACATAAGGTCACTATGAGTCACAAGCGACTCGATGGCACATAACAACAATAACAAGAAGTTCTATTCCACATTTTTCTCTCATCCTATCAGGATCCATCTGTTTTGTTGCCCTGATCATAATAACCAACACTCCCTTTTGATGTGTATATAACTTAAATGCATCTAACCCACTGGGGGAAGAAGGGATCTGAGTTTGTGCTTAGAAAGAGCTAGGCGATAGAAGTTTACTCTCAGAAATATTTTTCAGTCTTAAAAATAAATCGACAGAAAGAGGACGTTAGGTAAGAGAATCCAAGAGAATCTGAATAAAGCAAGTACTTTAATTAATACAAAAAATGAGCTAGTTGGATCACTGCAGTGATTTTTTTTAAAAAAAAATATTGTTCCATAGCAAATTATAGTTAAATAAAATCATACAAAGGAAGAAGAGAATATGAAGAGGGCTGGCAGAGATACCTACCTAATTGGCTTCGGTTTGGAAAGGACACAATTGAAATGAGATGAATTTCTGTAACTAAAAAGGAACAGATGATAAATGAATGAAAACACCCACAAAAGAGATTTTGATCCAATGCATTCTGAAGATATATTCAATACTTCTTGAAACTTTTGCATTTACAATGTAAAATGTACAAATTCAGGAAGATTTTAAAGTGAAAAAAAAAAATCAGAACAACCAAGCCAACCTATCACAAACTTTGCAGTCTTCCATCCTGGACTGAGACCAGGTACAGGACACCTTGTCCAAGGGAGTTGTTTTTTAAATCACATTCTGAATGAACTGAAATAAGGCAGAGACAAAAGAATGTTCAAGCTAAAGGTTGTTTCCCCATAGTGTCTAACAGTATGTACTTTGAAGGATACTGTTATGGGTTGAGTTGTATTTCCCCCAAACACATGTATATAATGATATGTAATGAAAACCATTATATATGTATAATCCATATAGTGATGCTGTGGAATGGTTTCCCATAATCTGAGAAACCCAAACAATCTAGAATTAAAAAAATAAGAGGATTAAAAGTGGAGTACTCTGGTACCACTTGTTGCAGAAGGTCAAGGACTTCAATATGGTTTGAAGCTTAACATCAAGAAGACAAAGACTCTCACCACTGAGCCAATTGGCAGCACCATGATAGATGGAGAAGTGATTGAGGTTGTTAACTGTTTCAGCTTGCTTGGATCCACTTTCAGTAATGTTGGCACCAGCAGTCAGAAAATCCAAAGACAAATTAAATTGTGGAAGTCCTCTGTCAGGAACCTTTCCAGTGTACTGGGTAACAGTGATGTCAGTCTGGAGACTAAGGTGTGCCTGATCCAGGCCATGGTCTTCAGAATTCCTTGCTATGTGTCAGAGAGCTGGACAATGGCTAAGAATGGTAGAGTTGATGCCTTTGAGTTGTGGTGCTGGAGAAGAGTCTTGAACATTATTCCATGGACCTCCAGGAGAACAACTAGGTCTGTCTTGGAGAGGGTATTTTTCCTTGGAGGCTAGGATTTTGAATCTCTGTCTCATATACTTTGGGCACATGGCCAGGAGGAACTGGTCCTTGGAGAAGGATAACATGCTTGGAAGGGTGGAGAGACAGCTCAGGAGAGGAAGACCCCAGATGAGATGGATTGACATGACAACTGGGGCAATGAGGGTAGGTGTGTTGGAGATAGTGAGACTGGCTCAGGATAGGGCAGGACTCAGAGCTGTTGTATATATAGGGTCAATATGAGTTGCAGGCATCTTGACAGCACGTAACAACAACGAGAAGGATGGAGTGTGTTATTCCTTAATCCCAACATACCCCTAATTCAAACTAAGAGAATTTCCTCTTTAATACCTTTTCTTTTGCTTGAGATTAAAGGGGAGGAAGGTGAGCCAAGAGAGGGAATCCTTAGAACTACGAAGAAGCAGTCACTGGGGGTGGAGTCCCTCTTTTTGGATCTGGGTCTCTGTGACAGTGGGAAAGGCCAAGATACACAGGGGTCCCTGGGAGTGGCAGGCCTACAGATGCTGAAAGCAATTAGGACTATCTTCTACCACAGACAGAGAGTGCCTTCCACAAAAGCTGACATCCTGTTCAGGGCTGTTGTACATAGGGTCACTATGAGTTGCAAGCGACTTGACGGCACATAACAAAAACAACAAGTCTCTTAAACTCTTAAGAGAATAAGTGTTTTTGAAAGCCATCTCCTGGTGGTGTCTCTGTTACAGCAGCATAGATAATTAATACATCTGTGTTTGTGTCACTGAGTTGCAGGTGAGCTAACACCTTTCCAGGTACAGTTTTCAGCAAGTAGCGGCAATATTGTGCCCTCAGTGTCCTTCATGCGCTGACACCCAGAGAACCATCTCTCAATCCCTGATCTCAATAAGGGTAGAGATAGCAGTTGGCATTTCTTTTTGTATCTCCTGCCATGAAGCTAAATGCAGCGCTCAAGAGCACATTTAGCCATGACTCCGGAGTCTGTCTTGACACACAGACAGCAAGAAGACCAGCTCCATGTTTTAACTGAATCACTTCTTGGAATGAGCGCTATTTTGAGTATTTCTGGCAGTTAAGGGTTTATTGACACAAAAGATATGTTCATTTACATGTGGCAAACAGAAGGGTTGAGACCCAGGGGACATGGGTGAGAGCCATGGAGAGCAAGTTCAGAGGCGCCAAGGTCTGGCCCAGCCTGGAGCTGGTAGACAATGTGCTCACACTAGGGGTGTCCTCACCCGCCTCCCTTCCGTCTGTGTTTGCCTTTCCCTTTCAAATGTTATTTGACAAAAAGCAATTACACTAATTTCCTTCCCTGTGGGCACAATTCTGTTTCTGACATGATGACTTGGAGGAATAATTACGCTTACTCTCCAGGAAACACATCCACCCCAGCCCAGCTGTGCACCCAGGAGTGCTGGCCGAGGCATGTAAAGCACAGGAGAGGAGAGACATTTGTGTGGGCTAATGGTTCTGTTTGCCCTCAGGTCGTATCCTGGGATCTGGTGCGTTTGGGAAGGTGGTGGAAGGTACTGCCTATGGCTTAAGTCGCTCTCAGCCTGTGATGAAGGTGGCGGTGAAGATGCTAAAACGTAAGTGCCTCTTTCTGGGGTTTTTTTGTTTGTTTGTTTTGTTTTGTCTTCAACACAGAGATATTAAGTGAGTTGGTTAAGAACCATACAGCTAGCAAGTGCCAAGTTTAGAACTAGATCCCCAAATCTTTTGACAATTGATTTTTATGTCTAGTTAGATTATTTTGCCATTAAACTCAACTCATTGTCGTTGAGTTGGAGCCAACTCATAGCTGTTGGGTTTTGGGGGCTGTGGGTCACACAGGAGGAGATGACCATCTTCCTTCCCCAGAGTCCCTGGTAAACATGAACTGCCAGACGGCTTGCTGTGGCCATTGGGTCAACAGTGCAACTCTCTGTTTGCTGTCATTGTTAGGTGCCTTTAGTCAATTATAATTCACGGGGACCCTGTGAACAACAGATCTTCACCTGGCCCTGATCTATGCCATCCCCCCAATCTTATTTAAATTGCCCTGGTTGCTCATGTGTTACCAAGCCAAGAGTCACTGCCATTAGTGACTTAATTTCTCTCAAACCAGTTGCTGGCAAGTTGACGTTAGCTCCTGATGACTTCACACATGGCAGAGGACAGCTGAGCTCCACAGGGTTTTCAGTGGTGATTTTCTAGAAGTAAATCACCAGGCCTTTCTTCTTAGTCCCTGAATTGGCATTTGGCACATGAACTCTTTGCACTACCCAAGGACTCCACCCTAAAGATGAGGGATGGAGTTGTCATCATCCAGGCTGAGTCACTGTCTGCTGCTTTTTTAAGATTCTTGGTAAATAAAACCAGTACCCAGCAGAATTAGCCACATTACCGGCTTTTTCAGGGAAGGGGAGGTAGATGGCTTGGTTGACCTGAGAGATTATTTATTTCTTCAACAGCCACTGCCAGATCCAGTGAAAAACAAGCTCTCATGTCGGAACTGAAGATAATGACACATCTGGGGCCACATTTGAACATCGTAAACTTGCTGGGAGCCTGCACCAAATCAGGTAAGGGACCTGCCCCAGGGAACAAGAGCTTGCCGGCAAACACCTCCTCTGGTGAAAATCATTCAGCCAGAGGGATTTTGCTTTATTTTCTTTTTAACCCCCACACTTCCCTCCTTCAAACATAGCAGTGAACATAGTGACTTTGAATGGAGCTGACTGGAATTGACTGAGTTGATGAAAAAACTCTTCTAAAAACAAAACAAAAAGTTCGATGTGGATTAAGGGAAGTGTGAAACACAATGCATGCAAACTTTGTAACCAAACCAATATAAAAGAAAACTTTTTAAAAAATGTGCTTTAGGTTGAAGTTGATGGAACAATTTAGTCTCCCTTTCAAGAGTTTATACCTAAAATATGTCGCGACTTGGGTGGCATTTCCCATACTCTTGCCATTTCCATGCCAAGTTTTCTGTTTCTTTTCATTCAAAATTTTCACGTCTTTAGGCAAATGTTGGCTGGTGTATGTGTGTATATGTGTGTGTGAAAGAGAGAGAGAATGCAAGTGAGCATTGCTTGCAAGTCAAAACCTGAGCTTTGTTGGTTTTTCTCTTCTTCATTTCATATCCATCTCCAAACTGCCTTTGTCTTTACAGGACCGATTTACATAATCACTGAGTACTGCTTCTATGGGGATCTGGTCAACTATTTGCATAAGAATAGAGACAACTTCCTGAGTTGCCACCCAGAGAAGTCAAAGAAAGAGCTGGACATCTTTGGATTGAACCCCGCTGATGAAAGCACACGAAGGTGAGTGCAGAGACACTGCTGCCTCTTGTCATCTTAAAGGTACCTAATGGAGAGAAACCATGTCCTGATGTGCTCAATAGCTGTAGATTTGGAACCAGGATGTAGTCCATCTTGGGATTAAGTCATCCTGTGATTCAGTGCTGCCGGAGACACTACATCCTCAGGGTGTCGTGTGGAGAGAGCTAACTGACGAATTCCATTGGAAAATTCTGCTGTCAGAGACCTCCTCCAAAGTACTGGAGAGCAACGATGCCAGACTGGAGACTAAGGTGTGCCTGATTCAGGCCATCATCTTTGCAGTTACTTGTTATGCATTGGAAGGCTGGAAAATGACTAGGGATGCTAGAAGGTGAATGAGGCTTTTGAGCTGTGGTGCTGGAGAAGAGTGTTGAATATACCAAGGACTGCTAAGAGAATAAATAGGCTCACTCTAGAGAGGGTAAAGCCTGGCAAGGATTCTGAAGCTTACTCTGACATACTTTGGACATTTTGCAAAGAGGGACCAGTCTTTGGAGAGGGATGCCATGCTTGGGAGGGTGGAGGGACAGTGCAAGAGAGGAAGACCCTCAATAAGATGGAGTGATTCAGTGACTGGGATAATGAGGGGTAGGTGTATAATAATATTAGCACAGGATAGAGCAGGATTTAGGGCTGTTTGTACATAGGTCGTTATTTTTAGTAAGCGACTCAACAGCAGTTAACAACAACAACTGACTTCATGACAAACTTATGCATAATAGAAACATTGCTGTGTATGGGTCCATGCTGCTATTAATATCACCAGATGCTGTCAGTTCAATTCTAATACATAGTGAGCCTCTGTGCAACAGAATGAAACACTGCCTGGTTCTGTGCCATCCCCACAGTCACTGTTGTCTCAACCATCATATCAGTCCATCTTGTTTAAGGTCTCCCTTATTACCACTGATCTCAGAGTTGCAGCTATTGTCTTCAACCATCAGTTGACAGTTTCTCTAAATTTTGTTGACACTACTTCACTAAACATGATGTCTTTTCCAACCATTTGGTCTTTCTTGGTGACATGTACAACGTAGGTGAACTGGAGTCTCCATCTTGCTTCTGAGGAGTTTTGTGCTTGTATTTCTTCTGAAAAATTGATGCAGTACCTTTCCAGGTGCCATGGCATTCTTCAGCACCCACAGTGCAAACACATCAATTTGTCCTCTTTGCATTTCTTTGTCCACATTTTGCATGCATTTGAGGCGGGTTAACAGACCCTGGCTTTGGCCAGGTGTACTTTGATAATTAAAGAGGTCTTGAAGTTGGGATGCCCATGCAGTATGGCAATATGTTGCTTAATTTCTTGACTGCTGACTGCATGGTGCTCCACTTCAGACCCAGAAAATGCAACTCTGGCTAATGATGCCTGATTACTTGTCACTCATGAGTAGCTAACTGTCTGGGTACCCCTTGGTGTGACATACTGGCCCTCATTGAGCCTGGACTTATAAATCAAGCCAATGGAAGGCATCCTCACTTTAGAAATCCTACTGCAGACTTCTGGAGATTGGCAATTCTTTAAGGAAGCAAATAGGAAGGACCCAGGTGAAAAGACAGGGTAATGATGGGCAAGGTCCAATGATGATTAGTTTTATAAAACATAACACATGAGAATGATCATATGAAACATGATGTGAATGAAGAATAGTGGGAAACACAATGTATATGAGCTTTGTAAGCAAACCAGTGGGGGGCAAAGAATACTGTGAAATACACATACACACAAAAAGATCATAAAGTATCATAGATCCATTTCCTATAAAAGAACTCAGTGGATATCAAATGGCCTTAAATGTTATTGAGCACTAGTAATAGGCTGCCCAGGCCACATGGCAGCCTGGCCAGGTCTGTGGTCTGTGAATTAAAAATGAGAGGAAGGAAAAAAAAGACAATACAATGAATTTTTAAAACTTTACATATAATAAACTTAGAAGGTTTTATAAGTTTTCATGACTCCTGATGGCACAGTAGTTAAGTACTTGGCTATTTGTGGAAAGACAAGCTGGTCAGTTGAACTCACAAGCTGTTCCATGGGAGAAAGAAGGGTGGTATCTTTCTGTAAAGAGTTATAGCTTTGGAAATCCTCTGAGGTGGTTCTCTTCTGTTCTACAGGGTTGTTCTGAGTTGAAATCATATCACCTGGAGTCAGTTTTAGAGGAGTAGAGCATCCCGAGTTACTATTAGATATAGCTATCTAGGATATCTCAGTTCTTCCAGATGAAGTATTAGAACTGAAAACAAATACACAATATTAATCATGGCAGTTAGCATTTGTTGAGCTTTCTCGCTTTACTAAGTGCTCCACCAAAGTATTCCCGAGCCATTCCCTTCTTTGTAAAGGGAATCACTCCAATGGAGTGGTTCTACCTGGTAACAGAGGGGTGCCCAAGAGCTGGAATTGACTGTGGCAATGAGTTTAAGTATCTTTTATTGACTTTTGATGACTGTGCTCCAAAAGAAACCTTGGCTAAGATTTCTTCTTCTTTTTTACAGTTACGTTATTTTATCTTTTGAAAACAATGGTGACTACATGGATATGAAGCAAGCTGACACCACACAGTATGTCCCCATGCTGGAAAGGAAAGAAGTCTCTAAATACTCCGACATCCAGAGATCCTTGTACGATCGCCCAGCCTCATATAAGAAGAAGTCTATGTTAGGTAAAGTTGCCAGCTTTCAAGTGGTTTAATGTAATTGTTAAAAACACTCAGAGGTCATTATCTATCCCTGCTTTTTCTAGATTCCCCTCAACCCCCCATGTTGGTACTGTTTTATAACAGTGGTGTTATGTAGAATTTGTCCTTTTGTGACTGAGATACTTCACTCAGCATAATATTCTTGAGGCTTCCTCTTATTGTGTAATGTTTTACGAGTTCCTTTTTCAGTGCTGCCTAATATTTCATTGTGCGAATATACCATAGGTTTTCTATCCAATCATAGATAATACACACTGCATTGGAATAGATAAAGGAGAGAACTGTTTAAAAGGAATGAATATATAATTAGGCATTATTTTCATGACAACAGTCCAGAATAAGAGAAGCATTGCAAAATGGGCTTGGGGGGCAGGAGGGTGGGCATGGGGAGGAAATTGTGCAACAGTGAATGAATGGAAATCCAACTTTTCTGTAAACTTTGTTAAAATCACAATAAAAAGAAACAAAAAACTGCTTAGAGGAAAATAAGAATGGGTCATAAAGAGGTGTCCCAGGCCACATGGTTGCTAATGAAGATCTGCACAGTGGTTCTGGCATGTGTATGTTCTTTTAGGTCTGGGAATTGAAAGAAGAGAACAAATAAAGGTGCATTTAATGGGATAGAATTTTCAACCTTTAAATGTAATCAATTTAAATAACTATCTTCCTGATACCATGCCTTTTTGTGCGTGTTAATATGCTGTTTTTAAACCATCAAGCTGGAATTGACTCATAGCCAACCTTCCAGGGATTTTCAGAGACTAAATGGCACAGGAAAAACTCTCATCTTTTTCTGGAGAAGCAACTGACAGATTAGAACCGCTTGCCTTTGGGTTGGCAGCATAACTCTTTATATAGTGAGAAATAGAAATATGCATTTAAATGATGTTGTTGTTATGTGCCATCAAGTTGCTTGTGACTCATAGTGACCCTATGTACAACAGCTCTAAGTCCTACTCTATCCTGAGTCAATTTTATTATCTCTGACACATCTACTCTATTCCCCCAGTCACTGAGTCAATTAATCTCATCGAGGGTCTTCATCTCTTGCACTGTTCCTCCACCCTCCTAAACATGATGTCCCTCTTATTTTAACTTTGTGTGTGTGTGTGTGTGTGTGTGTGTGTGTGTGAGTGTACCGTCAAATCAGATCTGACTGGTACAGGAGGAGATTGTCACTCCTTCCCCGGCAGAGCATCTGGTGGATTCGAACCGTGTGCCTCTGGGATTGTAGTTGCAGCTCCTTGCCACTGACGTCCCTCTTAAAGGACTGGTCCCTCCTTGTAATTTGTCCAAAGTATGTCAGATGAAGCTTCAAAATCCTTGCCTCCAAGGAGCAACCTGATTTCACCCTCTTCAGGACAAACTTATTTGTTCCCCTGCCAGTCCAGGTTATATTCAGTACTCTTTTCCAGCACCACAGCTCAAAGACATCATTCACCTTCTGTCTTCCCTTATCATTGTCCAGCTTTCTGATGCATAGCAAGTAATTGTGAAGACTGTGGTCTGGATCAGGTGCACCTTAGTAGTCTTCTACTTAGAGGTCTTCTCCAGAGTACATTTAAATAGACATGCTTACACCATTGCAAGAACATGGAAACAGCCCAATGTCCAACCACAACTGAATGGATTGAAAAATTATGGTATATTCACATGATGGAATATTATGCATTATGCAGGAACAATGATTTTGTAAATTACTACCTAATGTGGGAGGGACTGGAGAGCATTATGCTAAGTGAACCAACTCAGTCTCATAAAGATAGATACTGTGTAAGACCATTATTGTAGAACGAGTATGAGGATCCAAGGTGTGGGGAGAGGGGGAACAGAGGGCTGAGAATGGGTGGGGTGGGGGTGTGTTAATCATAGGGTCACACAATTTGATGGGTGGAGGGAAGAGGAGATGAAGGAAATTGGAAAGATCCTGTGTGAGAAAGAATGTACGTGAACTTTGTAAATAAACCAGTATAAATGAAAAAAAAAAATGGTAACGCTTATGTATAGAAATTTAAATATGGATTATGTATAAACATGTTTAGATAGAAAACAATAAATGTATTCTTTATATAAAATTTTTGTTTTTGTTGTTGTTGTTGTGTGCCATAGAGTTGGAACTAACCCATAGTTCACCCTCCAGCAGGGTTTCAGAGGCGGTAAATTGCGCGGGATTTGAGCTTTATTCCCTGGAGCAGCTAGTGGGTTTGAATTGGTTACCTTTGTGTAACCTTTGCATGATTCCTTATCTCTCAGTCCTGAAATAGAAATATATGTTACTGTATATAAGTGTTATTTTTTGGTGAATGCGTGCACAGCAAAACTCTGACCCTTTACACAGTTTCTAGACAAAAGGACCAGTAACTTTGGTTGCGTTCTCATCATTGTGTCAAATTTTCATTATTTCTCTTAGAACAATTTCATTCCTATTAAATTCCTTGCACCTTAACCTTCTCAACTATGTTTTTAAATAGCTGCTGTTTATTTAGTCTTACATAGATTTCTTTTTAAATGAATGTAATGCTCAAGCTTGGCCATTTTTACTTTTGGAGCGAAGATATTGCTTAACTTGAAGGCGATTTCAAGGGAGAGTTTTAAATATGACCTGAAAAAAAAAAAGAAATGAAAATATGATAGTTGGTATTTCATTTGTCAATGCTCTTATCTGGAGAAATAAAAAGTTAGAACTCTTATGTTGGTGCCTGATACTTTTTAAAAAAATAAGTCAGTGGAATCTATGAGTTAAGTAAATATTGAAGATGAGCTGCAAAGCTTTCTTAACATCGAGATTGGAATTGAGAGCAGAGAGGAGAGAGTTTGAGGCTCTGTCTCCCCATGTGGGTGGTGGGTGTGTCAGTGGACTGTTCTGTGACAGAGGATGAACAATTTTCAGAGCAGATGTGCAGGTGGCAGAGTTGAAGTGATTTATAAACTCTGGGGAGCTGGTGATATCCATACCAGATGGACCACCCCATATTCACTCGAGGGGGTGGGGAACACCATGGATTCTAGTACAATTACAAGCTTGGCCTGCAGACAGAAAGGTGACCACTAGATGGGTCTGACCTTGACCTGTCTCATGATAATCTCTTTTTGGCACTGGTCCTTGCAAAAATTGTTGAGCTGCCCTAGAAATTACTTTGCAAATCACTGATGTACTCTGAATGCTTTCAGGATTCTTAAGTGAAAGGCACGATCCGTAATTTTTTTTTTAAAGAATGTGCTTGTTTTGCAAAGCCCAGTACACAATAATATTTTCCATTTCTGTGGTTCCAAGTTCCAGTTACTTCCCATTGCCAAATGGGTGAGCATCCAAGAGCTTTTTAAAGATTAGCCAACAAGAGTTATCGGAACCAGCGCTTCCTCTCCCTCCCATCTTGTTAAAAATAGTTTACGTTGCCTCCCAGCCTGTGCGAGTGGACTTGCCTCCAGATGGCAGGGAGCCTGCACCATGCAGGGACCTGGGCTCTGCTGGCAGACACGCTGCTGCTCCCTGGTCCACTGGACAAGTGGGAATGGCTGGAGCCACACTTCACTTTGTCTGAAAACTTTCAGTAGGAACTGGCCTAGATTGCCTCCTTCTTCGAAAACTCTGGGGCCCTTCCAGAGAGAAAAGCTGTGGACAGCGGACAAGTTACAAACGCAGAGCTGTTGACACTGATCTGTAAGAGTGGAGCTCCTCTGATCAGGGTTTGATTTCCCCCCTCCACAAAGTAAGCCGAGTACTAGGAAGGTGGCTTTAAAAACAAAGCCAACTTCTGCGAGCTAACTTTTTCCAAAGGGAGCTCTGGTGACCTAATGCATAGGGGGCTGTGTTGCCAATCCAAAGGTGCCTAGTTCAAATCCACCAGCTGCTCTGTGGGAGAAAGACGGGCCATCAACACCTGTGTGATTTATTGCCTCTGAAACATGGTTTGAGGCCACCAGCTGCTCCACAGGAGAAGGATGGGCAATTTCCTCCCATGTGATTAACTGCCTCTGAAAACCTGCTAGAGGGTCAGATTTCGGTTGGTTCTGACTTGATGGTACTCAACAACTGCTTTTTCTGAAGGGTCTAATGCATATTTGGCATGGGAAGATGTGTGAGAATGTGTGTGTGTGTGTGTGCGCGTGTGTGTTTAAGGAAAGGGGACTTAGGATTTGATAAATAAGATTAAAAAAAAGTAACTACTGCTGTCCTGCTCATTCCCAGGCAGTCAGAGCTGACTCTTGAGTGGATTTTTCAGAAGCTGTAAATTGAACAGGAGAAACTGCTTATATTTGGGATAACAGTGCAATATTTTACCCACTAGACCACCAGTTGTTGTATTGTGTACTGTAGAGTTGGAACCGACCCACAGCTGACTCTCTAGCAGGTTTTCAGAGGCAATTAATCACGCAGGAGGAGATTGCCCACCCCTCTCCTGTGGAGGAGCTGGTGGCCTCGAACTGTGTGCCTTCGGGATTACAGCGCAGCTTTTTGCCACTAGGCCACCAGAGCTCTAGACCATCAAAGCTCCCCTTAAAAATAAAAAGAGAGAGCAAGAAAGAGAGAGAGAGAGAGATTAGGGAGATCAAAACCCAATTCAAATAAACAAGCCAATCAAAACCACCAGAAGAATCCATTTAGAGTGGACAGTATGTGACGTCATATGTGTGTCAAACAAAACCAGACTGGCTCGCATCTCATCCAGTCAGCTTTGAGACAGGGCTGTTCTGTGTATACAGGAGTAGAGCTCTGCGCCGTGGGATTTTCAAGGCCTTGACCTTCTGGGATCAGTTACCAGGCTTGATGGTTACCTGCTACAGCTTTAGATGAGCTCACACTGCTCCCTTTTGGGTTAGCAGGCACATGTTTAACCTTGTACCAGCCCACCGACTCCAAACGTGCGTATGATTACACACTCCCACACACCCTCATCTTCTGGACTGGAAATGCTCTTTCTGTGTACAAACATGCACATGCAGTTTGGAGCTCTGGGGGCCTAAGTGGTCAGGAGTTGCACTGCCAACTCAAAGGCAGGAGTTGCGAATCCACCAGTTGTTCCATGGGAGAAAAATGGACAGTCTCCTCCCATGTGATTTACAGACTCTGAAAACCTGCTGGAGGGTCACTTGTGAGTTGGATATTACTGATGCATGTGTGTGTATGTAGGGAGCTCTGGTGGCTTAGTGGTTCAGAAGCTGGTTCAGAAGCTGCACTGTAATCCTGAAGACATACGGTTCAAATCTACCAGCTGCTCCCTGGGAGAAAGATGGGAATCTCTTCCCATGTGATTAACTGCCACAGAAAACCCACTGGAGGGTCAGCTATGGGCTGATTCCAACTTGATGGGAAATAATAATAATAATAATAATAATAATAATAATAATAATAATAATAATGTGTGTATATGCATATGTTGTTTTTTGTTGTTTATATATGTATATTTTTTCTTTTGCATGGGAGCTAATCACACAGAAGTACAGTGCCCATCCTTCTCCCACATATATGTGTGTATATTAAGAAAGTGGTTTTACATAATTTGGCTACCACCGTGTAAGACTGAAAGACTCTGTATAAGAAAGCAATTTTGGATGTGTACTTGGGATACTTCTCTGCCCGGGACTGGGCCAACAACGTTCCAGTCCAGCAGGAGTGTCAGTGATGGTGTCGTTCATGTTCTGCTCACACCAACACCCTTGATTACTGTTCTGCAGAATCAGAAGTAAAAAATCTCCTTTCGGATGATAACTCAGAAGGCCTGACCTTGTTGGATTTGTTGAGTTTCACCTATCAAGTTGCCCGAGGAATGGAGTTTCTGGCTTCAAAAAATGTAAGTATTGAAAGTAGAAAAAAAAAAGGTCAGGGTGTTCGAGGAACAGAGAGTTCTGTAGACCCAGGCCACAGATTTTCCCAGTGAGCAGCTGTGGAGGGAGGTGGATCTTGGCGAGACCAGTGACTGTGGCTCTTCATTTTCTTACCTGTCTTGGTGAGAGTCCAGCATCCACAGGTGTCTGTCTCCCCCCTTTTCTCTAGTGCTTCCTGTCTGTGGAGAGTGGTTGGGATAAGTCTTGAATGAGTGAGGTTTAGCTTTTCTGTGAGGCAGTGACTCCCAGACCACTGAGAAGTGACCAATGGTTCAGGACCCATGGTGTGTGGCTACAGACGGATTGACCTGAAGCCCTTTCATCCCTCGTCCTCCCCTGCAGTGTGTCCATCGGGACCTGGCTGCTCGCAACGTCCTTCTGGCTCAAGGGAAAATTGTGAAGATCTGTGACTTCGGCCTGGCCAGGGATATCATGCACGATTCGAACTACGTGTCAAAAGGCAGCGTAAGTGCTCGCTCACTCACTTTGCTTGCTCACCCTCCCTCATTTCAATCTCTGAAATTAGGTGTAGCCTCTACCCTCTGGGTACCATATGCTTAACATAGAATCTGTGAGTGTCAGGGATGGGCTCCAGGTGCCCGTAGGGGAAGCTCAGACTCTCCTGGATGCATCCAGCTCTTCCTACTCACTGGCATTTGGGTTGGGGGTGAGTTAACGTGACCATTCTCTGCTCCAGTTTCCTTATGACTAATACTAATAGCACCTAGCTCCTGGGTTGCTCTGGTGACGCAAATAGTTAATTCAGGTAATGAGTCTATGCTAGTGCCTGGTACGTACAAACACCCAGTAAATGTTAGCTGTGGATGTATAAAGTCTGTTTCTCTGTATTTGTGTGTCCATGTGCATGTGCCCAGGGGACAGCATCGCTGTCGTGGCTTCCAACCAGTTAACTATGGTTTTTACTTTTTATTAAAAACTTCCATTTGTATCTGACATATAGCCGTTCAGTCAGAATCTGCATTTTAACAAGATCCCCCAATGATTCTCATGGGGAGATATATGTGAATCACTTGGGATCTTGTTAAACTGTGGATTCTGATCCACTATATGGCATCCACTTCTAAATAACATGCCTCTGGAAACTCTATGAACTTTGATAAATGACAATAGTTGTAGAACGGCTTCAGGCCTTTTGTTCATGGGGTCACTATGAGTCATGCTGGACTTGATGGCAATCAACACAACATATCAGAGGTAGGGAACTCTGGTGGCAAGAAGCTGTGCTGCAATAATCCCAAAGGCATGCAGTTCGAGGTCATGAGCTGCTCTGCGGAAGAACGATGGATAATCCCGTCTCGTGAGAAAACCCGCTGGAGGGTCAGCTGTGGGTCAGTTCTGACTCTATGGTACACAATAACAACAGAGTTGGAAATGCAAATTCTCAGCAAAGGGTTTAACCAATTCAAATCCTATTCTAGCTTTTAGCACCTTTTCAGAAAGGCATCAGTTAACACAGTGAATATTATCTCAAGAGTCACGTTTTCCTTAAAGATAAGTATTCTGTTTTCTATGCAGTCCTTCTGAGCAGATGTAAACAGCTTGGGGTACACGGCCCCTCTGTGTGCAGGTCCTGATCGCCCAGCTAGGCGGGTGATGAGAGAGTATGTAAGGTCACTGTGTCACTGCGCGAGGGGTACCTGAGTTCAGGCTGTGTGGAGATCATGTTCCCTGAGGCTGTGAGCTCTTCCGTGTTACTTTAGGTCCCTTAAAGGAAAAGAAAAAAAAAATCACTGGACTTTGGTGGAACCTAATTTTCTCTTCCATTCAAATGAGGTTCTAAATCTTCATTATCTCCCCAGAGAGTCCTGCAGGGCTAAAGGATGTTAATATGGCCACTTTATGATCTGCTTCAGTCTAGTACTTCCTCTGAAGGTTGGACAAGCCTCACAATTGTTGTTAGATGCCATGGAGTCAGCTATGACTCTTAGAAGCCCTCTGAACCACAGCTCTAAGCCTTGACCTGTCCTGCACCTTCCTCATGCCCCTACGTGCTGAGACCCTTTGTTGCAGTCACTTTGTCAATCTGTCTCATTGAGGAATATTCTTCTCTTTCACTGACCCTCTGTTTTCCCCAACATGATGTCTTTTTCCAAGGGCTGGTCCCTCCTGACAACATGTCCAAAGTATATGACATGATGTTTCACCACTCTTACCTTTTGGAAGCAGAAGCACCCTGGTTATAACCCTCCAAGAGTTGTTTTGTTCTTTTTGCAGTCCATGGGATATCCAGTACTTCTTGCCAACACCTCAGTTCAGAGGCATTAATTCTTGTTTGGTCTCCCTTGTTCTTTGCCCCACTTTCACATGCAGGTGAAGCAGTTGAAGACACTGTGGCTTGGGCCAGGTGCGCCTTAGTCTTTAAAGTGGCATTCTTACTAATTAACATTTTAAAGAGGTCCTTGACAGCAGATTTACCCAATGCAAATGGGAAAAACATTATCCTAATGCTTTACTCTTTGTTGTGGTGAGAAAGTAGTATTTCCCCTCCCCCTTTAAGGTCCAGACAGTCTGACTGGCTCACAGATGACCAGATAAGCCTTTCATTTTGTTCCCAGAACACTTGAAAATAAGACACACTTTTATTCAGAACTAGTGTTTTGGGGCAAAATTTCAGAATTAGAGGCTTTGGGTATTTTTTGAGAGGGTACAGGAGGCAACTTTGGCTATTCACTACTCATCAGATATTTTATTGAGCACCTACCAGGTGCCAGGCGGAGCTCTGGTGTCATAGTCCATGGGGAATTACACTGTCAACCCAAAGGTGGTATCTCTCTGGCAACTTGAATCAATCATGAATCCTGGGGGCAGTTGTTACTAGATGCTGTCGAGTTGAGCGTATGACCCATAGCGACGCTATGAACAACAGATCTGAACTCCGCCCTGTCCTGTGCCAGCCTCATCATCTCTGACATGCTTACGCCCAATGCTGCAGTCACTGTGTCCATCTCATAAAGCGTCTTCCTCGCTTTCACCTGCTGCCCACCACTCCAAGCATGATGTCTTCTCCCAAGGGGACATTTCCTCTCCTAATAATGTGCCCAGAGATTGTGATCTTTAATCTCCCTGGGAGGAGGAAGTCGGGCAATCTCCTATGAGATTGTTGTTGTGTACCGTAGAGCCAGAACCGATCCACAGCTGATGCTCCAGTGGGTTTCGGGTTCCAGAGGCAATTACTTGCACAGGAGGGGACTGCCCAGCCTCCTGTGGAGCAGCTGATGGCCTCGAACCGCGTGCCTGCAGGGTTGCAGTGCAGCTTCTTGCCAGTAGGCCACCAGAGCTCCCTCCTATGAGATTAACGGTCTTAAAAAAACCCAGTGAGGGTTATCTGTGAGTTGGTTCTGACTCAGTGGTGATGCGTGAGGTACCAGGTGGGCTTCTATGTGCTCTAGGACAGCAGCACAGAGGTGTGAATTCTTTGCTTCCTTCTTCCCTGCAGACCTTCCTCCCGGTGAAGTGGATGGCCCCCGAGAGCATCTTCGACAACCTCTACACCACCCTGAGTGACGTCTGGTCTTACGGCATTCTGCTCTGGGAAATCTTCTCCCTCGGTATGGGGCCTGGCACCTGGGCTTGTTCTGGGTTATTCTGGAGCCATCAAGGGATGATGAAATAGTTAACACGCTTGGCTACTACTAACTGAAAAGTTGAATGTTCACATCCACCTGGCGGAACCTCAGAAGAAAGGCCTGGTGACTTCCCTTTGAAAAAAAAAATTAGCCCTTGAGAACCCTGTGGGGCACAGTGTACGTGACACACATGGTCGCCACAAGTTTGCATGAACTCAGTGGTGACTCGACGTAGGGAACTCTGCGGGATCTCTGGCGCTGTAGGCAGTGCCGACCTAAAGGCAGCGCCTCTCTGGGGGTTCAAAGCCTCCAGAAGCTCCTTGGGAGAAAGATGGGCAACGTCCTCCTGTGTGACTTACAGCCTCTGAAACCCCTGGAAGGTCAGGTGTGAGTCGATTCTGACTTTATGGCAATCAAAGGGCTTCTTTTGAGTGGTCAGAAGGGTCTGTGAGTGATACAGATGATTTGTGCTATTCTTACTAACCTAGAAGTTGGAGGTTCATAATATGACAGTGACAGGAACCCTAGGGAAGACATGGGTGGTCCTCACTAGTCTGAATCAATAATACTAAGTGCCTGTGTCTTTTTTACTCTGGTGTAGTAGTTAGGAACATTGAGAACCTCGGGCATCTCTTCAGAAGATGTCATGCTTTTCCCTGCTGTGTTTGACCTTGACCACCCGAGCAGCTCTGCTCTTATTAGATGCCACCGGGTCATTTCTGACTCCTAGCAAACCTGTACACAGAGAATGGGACACTGCCTGATCCTGTGTCGTCCTCCACTCTCCGATGCGCTTATGTCCTTATTACGGTTACTGTGTCAGCCCATCTCATTCTTTTCCCCCAAGTCCTACTTAAAGTTAAGTTTGAGGAGGCCTCGGAAGTCAAGGAGATAGTGATCATTTCCTTGCAAGAGTTTTCTAATGGTATTTCAATGGTGTATCATATCTAAACTTATTGATATGATTTGTTTTATTCTTGGCCTTCTAGGCGGCACACCCTACCCTGGCATGATGGTAGATTCGACTTTTTACAATAAGATCAAGAGTGGCTACCGGATGGCCAAGCCTGACCACGCCACTAGTGAAGTGTAAGCCCCCTCCCCATCTTGCTGGCTTTGCCATCTCTGGTGGGTGTGGGGTCTCGGTGGGGAGAGGGCTCACTGACATCCCTCCCTGTACTCACTCTGGAGTCCTGTGCCTCCCCAGTTACGAGATCATGGTGAAGTGCTGGAACAGCGAGCCGGAGAAGAGACCCTCCTTCTACCACCTGAGTGAGATTGTGGAGAATCTGCTGCCTGGACAATATAAAAAGGTTTGTCTGGGTTGGATGACCAGGGTGGAAGGCAATGGACTGTTACAAGCAGCCGCAACCCTGGTGGTGCAGATGGTTGGGCCCTGGGTCATTAACCGAAACGTTGGTAGCTTGAATCCACTTAGAGGCACCTCAGAAGAAAGACCTGGCAATCTGCTTCCAAAACGGCACCACCATGAAGTGGTTCTGGGAGGGTGCTCTGCGCACCTGGAATCTCCATGCACAGCAGCTGGCTTGGTTTGGCAAAGAGCAGTGCTGTTCAACATGGTTTTAAGGGAACATTTTCAAAAGAGGAGAAAGCTAGAGTGTTCTGGGGACCCCTGCCCTAGATGATGAATCAGAATTCTCCCCTCCCACCCTCTTTCCTTAAGTATGTCACACCTGTAACCACTTACTTCTCCAGATGTCTGCGTATCTAAAGCTACCGTGCAGTTAGAATTCTGGGTCCAGCACCATCATTAAATTCCCTAATTGGAATGCACTGAAATCCTTTCAAAATTGGCTTTTGCCAGCTGATTCCTAGGAACAGCCTCACCTGTTCTTTGTAGCTCCAGCTGGGTTTTGGCTTCACTGTTCAGATGAACAAGTGTGATTTCATGTCTGTGCAAATGGGTGCCACAACTTTCCACGCAGGTGCCAAGGAGGAAACCTGGGCTCGCTTGTGTACTTAACTTCTTCCGCTCAGACGAGTCAGTAGGTAGACTTTTCGCAGAGGAGCCCTGGAGGCTCAGTGATGATGAATGCGCTGCCAGCTGAAAACGTCTGCAGTGTGAACCCACCAGCACATTCTCTTCTTATAGAACTCTCTTCAAAAGAGTGGTATTAGGTGCCATCAAGTTCTGACTAATAACCGCCCAGTGTACAACAGAACAAAGCATTGCCTGGCCCAGTGCTGCTGTCCTTCCAGCCCGGGGAACTCAATGGAGCCGTTCTGCTCCCACCTGCTGGCTTGTTTATGAGTCAGAATGGAGTCAAGGTCACACAGCAAACAGACTTCATATTCATTGTGTCTCTTCCTTCTATTCAAGGAGGGGCAGCATTAAGAGGTTGCATGCTGGACTGGAAATGAAATTCTTTTGCTTATCGATTATTTCACTGCCCATTACTGTTCCCGTAAGTGAGACAGTCTAGGAGGCAAAAGGAAATGAACCTTCAGTCAGCCAAAGACTGCTGGCTGGTAACAACAATGTACTAATGAGAAGAGACTAGAACTTTTAAAAAATCTGAATCTATTTAGATCAAAGGGTCTTAAGTGTTTTTTGTTTGTAAGTCATTTATTCAGCAAATGTTGTTGGTGGGTTTTTTTCTTTTCTTTTTTTGCTCCAGGCTAGCCCTGTGTTGGAGGCAGAGTAGAATTGGCCCTAGGGTTTTTAAAGGTGTCATCTCTACAGAATCAGATTGCCAGGTCTGGCTTCCAAGTAGGTGCTGGGTGGATTGAACTGCCAGCCTTTTGGCTAGCGTAAGTGCTTAACCATGGCACCACCCATTGTGGTGGGGTTCCATCAAGTCAGCTCTCAATCAGAGCAACCTTGTGTGCAGCCGATTGGAATCTGTCTCATCCTGCACCAGGCTCACACTCGCAGCCGTGCTCTGTGCTGGAGCCCGTTGTGGCAGTCACTGTCCCAGTGCATTGCATTGGGAGTTTTTCTCTCGTTCAGTGACCCTTTACCTTTCCAAGCTTGATGTTCTTTTCCAGGGCTGCCTCTCATGAGAGCATGCCCAGAATCTCACACCACTTGGGCTCCTTCAGAGTAGGTTTTGCATTTCCCCGGCATTTAGATGTAGAGATCAGGAAGACTGGCCAGTGGAAGTTGTTCATCAACTCTTATTGTGCCGCCTCTGAACCCTAGAGGAAGTGTGATGGGGCCAGCAGAGTCCACATTGGTCCTGGGGAAGATGTGGGATCCTGTTAGAAGCTCCTGTCTGGGAGAAGAGACTCTTGGAGGAACCAGTTATGCCATGGGCATGTTACATATGGGCCTCCTTGTGCTTTCTTTGTTGTTGTTGTTGTTGTTATATGCCATTGAGTCACCTGCAACTCATAGCAACACTATGTATGACAGCTCTGAACCCTGCCCCGTCCTGAGCCAGTCTCACTGACTCTGACACACTCTAATCCCATTGTCCCAGTTATCATGTCAATCTGTCTCGTCCAGGGTCTGTCTCTCCTGCACTGTCCCTCCACCCTTCTGAGCATGATGTCCTTTTCCAAGGACTGGTCCCACCTGGCCATATGCCCAAAGTATGTGAGATGGAGCTATAATCTTACTTTTATTGTGCAAACCCATGCTACTTGCTTATGTGGTAATCCACCTTGGATTCTTGGTATCTTAAGCCTGACCATCAGGAGAGCTTTACCACCCAGTGCCCTTTCTATTCATGTTCTCTGTCTCTGGGGATAGTTGGTGTAGGACTCACCTTCAGCCACCTCAATCCTATACCTGTGAGGTAGTTTGGAAGCATAGATAGTTAAGTCTTGAGTGTCTGTCTTCAGCTTCCTGACCTTCTGCCATCTGGTCACTAATGCCTGCACATGTTGGATGTTGTTGACAGAGCTATGAGAAGATTCACCTGGACTTCCTGAAGAGTGACCATCCCGCTGTGGCACGCATGCGGGTGGACTCTGACAACTCGTACATTGGCGTCACCTACAAGAACGAGGAAGACAAGCTGAAGGACTGGGAGGGTGGCCTTGATGAGCAGAGACTGAGCGCAGACAGTGGCTACATCATCCCTCTGCCCGACATCGACCCTGTTCCTGAGGAGGAAGACCTGGGCAAGAGGAACAGACACAGGTAGACATGGGTGGCAGCCGGCCTCCGGCAGTGTGTCTCCTCTTCCCCTCACCTGGCACCTCTAAAGGAGAGAGAGGATCTCTGGATGCCACACTCTGCCCATAATAAATCCGTCTATATCAGGGAAGGAATTACACAATATCTGAGGAGGCTGTTTAGTTTGACAGCATTTTCAGGTCATTCTCACATCCCTTCGGGCCTGAGAACTGCGTAAGGCAGGGAGGGAGAGGGCAGGTGGAATACAGACCAGGAACCAAGACAATCTCTGAATCATAGGGAAGGGCCCCATCTGGGGAGTGGTGAGGAGCTCACAGTAGGTTCTAGAAGGTCTACTAGAAGGTAACCAGGTGCAGGAAGGACTTCTTGTTGCCCAGGCTTGGTTCTCTGCTGGAGGCCCTGAGTGGTGGAAATGGGTGGTCAGCTATTAAAGAGTCATGTCTACCCAGTGAGGCTATTCAACCTCTTAAAGGTCCACCGTCATTAAGACCCTGTGGAGCCCCGTTATACTTTGAAACACATGGTATCACCACCAGTCATGATTGGTTCAATAACAGCTGGTTCGATTTACTGTTGTTGTTCTCTGCTCAAGAACTGACAGGGAAAATTGAGGACTCAGGCTGGGCCTGTCAAGAAGGAAGGAGCTGAGCAGAGTCCCTGCTTGGGGTGTGTGTGTGTGTGTGTGTGTGTGTGTGTGTGTGTGTGACTCATTCTTCTGGCCTGCCAGCCTATGTTTACTGTTAATATACGAGGGGTCTAGCACGGTAATGCAGGCGCACAGCAAGGAGAATAAGCCTGCAGATGATAATCTGTTTGGAGTGAAAAGATACAAGTGAAATTTAGACAGCAGTGCAAGTCAGGGTAATGATAAGATAGTGAAGGTTATGAATTCACAGAAGGAGGAGAGATAGTGAAGTGTGCCAGGGAGGAAGACTGTGGGGGAGATTATTTTTCCAAAGATGTATTTATAAAATATTTAAAATGTGCAAAAACATGGAAAGAGTAATATAATGAGCACTTATATAGCTACATGGTGTTCCTATAAAAACCACCTAGATTTAGTTAAGTGCTAACATTTTACAACATTTGCTGCATCTGTTCCTTTGTGTGCAATATTGTTGAAGAATGGCATCCACTTCCTAAACAACATGCCTCGGAAACCCTGTGAACTTTGACAAATGTCGATAGTTGTAGAAGGCCTTCAGGCCTTTTGTTCATAGGGTCGCTATGAGTCATGCTGGACTCGAAGGCAGTCAACAGCAACAACAACAGCATCATATATAACTATTTTTTTTTCCCTCTGGAACCATTTGAAACTAGGTAGGAAAAACCAACACCAGGTATCACTTAGGAGTAAATTATTCTTCTTCATCATCACAAAAGATTTATCACAACATAAGAAATTGACATCTAGTAGTGTATCCAGGTCCTATTCAAAGGGCTTTTTACTGAATAGAGGGCTGGCTAGGAGGGAGAATTCTAGAGTCAAATGATCCAGATAGTAATTTGTTGTTGTTGTTGCTTTTATATGCCGTGTATTAAGAACTGACTCATAGCTCCAGCAGATTTTCAGAGGCCATTAATCACACGTGGGAGGAGATTGCCCGTCTTTCTTCTGAGGAGCAACTGGTGTATACAAACCACATGCCTTTGGGTTGGCAGCATGACTTTTTACAGCTAGGCCATCAGAGCTCCCTGGTAAGAGCAATGGCTAACTTTTATTAAACAGTTGTATACTGAATGGTAAAAATGGATGGCGGTTTGAATCTACCCAGAGAAGCCTTGGAATAAAGGCCTGTTGTTGTGTTGTGTGTCCTGTCAGATCGGAACTGACCCAGAGTTGACCCTCCAGCGAGTTTTCAGAGGCAGTAAATCTCATGGCGAGAGATTGTCTATCCTTCTCCCGTGAAGCATCTGGTGGATTCGAACCATAAGCCTTTGGGATTGCAGTGCAATTTCTTACCACTAGGCTACCAGAGTTCCCTAACAAAGGGCCTGGTGATATCCAACCACTGAAAACCCTCTACAGCTGGTTAGCTGGTATATTCTAGGGACTGTACTCTGCGTTGTATTGACATTACCTTATTTAACCTCCAACAGTATTGTGCATTAGGCTCTGTTGTCATCCTGCATGCTAGGTGCTATTATCATTCCATTTCATAGTCAAGGATACAGGCCCACAGGAGTTTAGTATCTCGTGTGAGATCACTCAACTAGCAAGTGAAGGGATCATTCCAGAGCTGCGTCATTCGACTCCAGAATTCTCTCTCCTAGCCACCACGCTAGTCAGTGAAAAGCACTTGACCTTGCTTTTCAATGGGTATTGAGAAAAATGGGAAGAAAGTATTCTCAGAGGGGCGGGATGAGATCCTCAGAGCCCAGTGTGGACACTCGGGATGTCTTCAAGGGAACACGTGAATATCCCCTGGCTACAGTCTGCAGGTGATCTATTCCTTTAGTTGCCTCTCCTCATGCCTGTTGATCATGCCTTATTTTTCCTTTCACTGCGAGTGAGTAGGGAAGGTAGAAATTGTTGCAGCATGATAGGTGCTTTGATTACAAACTTGGCAGAGGAGAAAGAAAGCTGAAGGTCTAAGCAAGTGTCAGGATTGTTTGTGGACCTGGGTTACCACAGGATCAACTGCAGTGCTGTGGGTGGTGCTCCCTGACTTGGCAGAACCTTGCCAAGTCAGGCAGCCTGGGATCGGAATGCCACAGAATCTTGCAGGAAGAGCTTGCCATTGGTAGACCATCCTGGAAATAGAACCACAGCCTAGATGGTCTGTCTGTGGACCTTAATGAACCTTTCCTATTTGTTTTCTCCTCCAGCTCACAGACGTCTGAAGAGAGTGCCATTGAGACAGGGTCCAGCAGCTCTACCTTCATCAAGAGAGAGGACGAGACCATCGAGGACATCGACATGATGGACGACATTGGCATTGATTCCTCAGACCTGGTGGAGGACAGCTTCCTGTAACTGGTGGATGCAGGAGCTGCCTTCTGCTCCAGGTGCCACCTTTGGATACCTTAAGAAAACCACTTTATTGCAATGCAAAGGTTGAGTGGAGAACTCGGAGGATGTGTGAAGAGAAGTTCCCAGCCATGTGCCTCAGGGAGCCTTCACAATTTGAGTGGACAGGATATTTTGAATGGAACTTTCCCAGTGCTGCTTCAAGCATCTCAGTAGCATCTCAGCAATGTTGTACAGTTTGGAGGTAGATGGACAAGGGGACAGCTGGGCCACGGAAGACAATCTTTGTGTTTCATGGGCATTGGTGAGATTCCAAGGTACACAGTGTTCACTGTGACAAAACTCTAGCATTGTAATTAATGTAAATAACGCTAACCAAGGATGTGTTTAGATTTTTTATTAACTGTCTTCTCTGGACTTCTGAAAAGACCACTGAAATCATTCATGTACTTCTCTTGAAACCTGGTGTCAGCTGCTGTTGAACTCTCTCGTGAAGTACATGCAAAACCACTTTTGAACCTAAAAGGTACTAGTACAATAGCATTTTACTTTTTATTTTTGTATGGGTTTTTTTTAAGTGTTTAAAGAGATAAAGGATATTAATTAACCAGCCTTCCTTAATAGATTTGGGTCATTTAGAAGCCCACTGACTCATTTTTTGTATTGTAATCTAGGTTTATAATAATACTACTGTTACCAGTAATGCTAATTGTATAATATGTAACATGTTTTCCCTACAGACAAGCACAATTATTTTAAAAAAAAAAAACCAAACAAAAAACAAACCCTTACTAAGTAGGTGACAAGTTTGACAGTTTTTTGGCATTTATTTCAAATAACATGTTTCTCTATAAGATAGGGTAATAGTGTTAGTGGATTAAATTTAGTTGAACATTGACAACAAAGTAGAAGTGGTGTCTTCTGGGAAGTCCAAGTTTTTGCTCGTGTACTGATAGGTTCCCTAATCAACTTTACTGAAAACAATTAACTATCCTCTGAAGTAATGGAATTAAAACTAAACAAAACACTCCCTAACTATCAGAACACAAAGCCTAAGTAAGCCTCTGCCAGAGACTTTCTGTGTTACTGCCCAATTGTGGGGGAAGAAATTGTCAGGAAGAAAAGACTGGAATTGCAAAGGTTTTTAAAAACCTGGTGATAGCTGTAGTGAAACACCAACATATATTTTTAAAAATTCTATGTCCCGTAAAGAATTGAGAAGGATGCTGTAAAAACGTCAGCCTCATTCCCTCTTTTTCTTTTTTTTTTTACCTCAAAGAGATATTGTTTGAAACTGTGAGACCATAAAGGCATTGTTTAGTGACTGATGACCCGGACCACAGATTCTGGGGCTCACTCCAGAAATTCAGACTCACTGGGAGGGAGCAGGAACCTATATTTTTATAAACAGTCTGACCATTTTGTTCAGCTAGGCTTGTGTAACACCAGCTTAGGTTACAGGAAGTTGCCATGGGAAAAATAAAGGAACCAATTTGAAATCTGCAACTGGATGAGAAGTCAGCAATGCAGGAAACCTGCTATTTGAGTCCTTGGCTTTAGGTCAGTCACATTTAGTGCCCTATAGCTAGCAATTGCTAACCTAAATTTAGTTTTCCAGGCTCAGCTGAGGCTGAGAAAGCGAAATCATGGTTTGGCAGGTCTCCCAAAAGCAGGGGGAGAGGGTCCTGGCGGCAGAGTGAATGAAGCTGCTGACTTGAAGGCTGTGTCTCTCTGGTGCTTCAAATCCACCAGCTTCTCTTTGGGAGAAAGATGGTCAGTCTCCTCTCCTTGCAACTTACAGCCTCAGAAAGTCTACAGAGGGCCCCTTAGAGTTGGAACTCACTCAATGGCATTGAAGTTTGAGGTTTTGGGGAGGGGTGGTGGTTTTGTACAAAAGTAAAGACATTCATGTCTGCCACTGAGTTTGGTTTGATTTTTCTTTTCTTTCTAATTTCCAGAAGAAGCATGTTTGAAAATGATGCAAATCAGTGTGCTAGGTTTTTGCATAACTGTGTCAATATTTTTGTCATAAAAAAAATTCAAGCTTTGCCGATTTTTTGAACTTCTTTGGGAGGATGAATCGTCAAATCAGCCCAGCCTCTTGAACTAGTTGGTGCGGGTTCATTGGCATTCTTTGCAATTCTGTTTAATTGCTCACACCCTATAAATGAAACATGGGCTGTGATTACAGCAATCACCGTATGCATAACTGGCAGGTGACGCTTTGGAGGATGTGGAAGCAATAACGAGGTACTTGACTATCTACCAGTGCAATCTTAATGCAAGCCCCAACTTCCTTAGCCTCCTCCTCTCATAGTACGCATGAAGACTGAGCCCAGTGGGCCAGTTAAAGACAACCCGACTAGATTCTATAGAGCCAATTAGACTTGAAACGCGTTGGTGTTTCTAGAACCACGGCTGAAGCATTCCGCTTGTCACTCACTCGTGCGTGTACAGCCTTCTCTAGTTGGTGCTTTGCATTTTGATGGTTCTTGGAGTCTTGTGTCTCCTGCCGAGGCTGGCCGAGAAAGCCCAGACCCACCATGTGCAGTCCTGACAAATGCCCCCACCTGTGTCTGTGGCCACGTTTCTCTGCAAGGTTTTCAGTTCTCACAGATGTGTTTCTCTTGTGACCTCCCAAAAAGTCCTGCAAAAGAAAATTTGCCAACCCTTCTCCTTCCTTATTTTTATGATGACAATCAAAGCTGGCCCAAGGAACACAACTTCTGGGTTTTCCAGTGATCCACGATGTCCTTAAGATGTGGTCTGCCATTCTGTACAAAATGGTCCTATTTTTGTGAAGAGGGACGATCGATAACATGATGTTATACATCAATATGTATATATGTATTTCTATAGAGACTTGGAGAATACTGCCAAAACATTTATGACAAGCTGTATCACTGCCTTTGTTTATATTTTTTTTAACTGTGATTATTCCCCACAGGCACATTAACTGTTGCACTTTTGAATGTCCGAAAATTATATTTTAGAAATAATAAAGAGGAAAATACTTAAGTGTTCCCCAAAGTTTGGTGTGGTGAATGTGTGAGAACTAACTCCATTGGGTATAGGGGGTTCCCACTGGTACATGCTGTACTATAAATGGCCCTGTTCCTATTTTCATTTTAAAACATGTAAATGGAGATCTTTATATTTCAATAAATGAGATATATATGCATATATATAAACTTATGCTAAGGTTCAACATTGTTTTTCATTTATGTCAACTATAGCAAATCTAGTCAACTTACTTTCTTAGCAACATTTTAATAGAAACTTTGTCTTAGGTATTTGACATTTTTTTCCATTATGGTAAAATTTAGATGGCAAAACTTTCATTTCTGCCATCTCTCTGTGTATGATTTGATGACGTTCATTACGTTCATCATGGTGTGGCAGCATCGTCACTGGCCATTGTTACATTTTCCCTGATCTGCCTGGTAAACTTAGTGCTCCTTAAGCAGTAACTCCCCTTTTCTTGCTCTCCCACTTTCCTATCTTTGGGTTCTGATGAAACTAATGTCATTGTTGTTAAGTGTCGTCAAGTTAAGTATGACTCATAGTGGTCCTATGAACAACAGATCTGAACCTTGTCCTATCCTGTGCCATCTTCACACTTCCTGCCACATTAGAGGTCATTTCAGGAGTCACTGTGTCAATCCAAAGGTCTTCCTTTCTTTTGCTGACTCTCCACCTTCCCAGGCATGATATCCCTCTCCAATGAATAGCCACTTCTAGCAACATGCACGAAGTATGTGAGATGAAGCTTTATCTTCTTTGATGATAAATGTAGTTCTGGCAAAGAATAAGGAATATAGCATGGCGTTACAGGAGAACAAATCTGTCTTGGAAGCAGTGCAGCCAGAACCCTCCTTAGAAGCAAAGATGGTGTGGTGAGGAGTTGCGCTGCCAACCCAAAGGCATGCAGTTCAAATCCACCAGTTGCTCTGTGGGAAAAAGATGGGCAATCTTCTCTCATGCAGTTTACTGCCTTGAGAACCCACTAGAGAGTCAGCTATGGATCGGTTCTGAATCGATGATACTAACAACAAGAACAAAAAACATAAATAGGAGCAGTTCCTTGGGAAAAACCACTCTGCTTGGAAAATAGAGTGTCAGCAAAAAGTGAAGCTCTTGCGGATTGATGCGGTAGCTGCAGCAGCAGGCTTAAGCTCAGGAGAGATTGTGGGCACGGCGTAGGATTGGGTGATACTTTGTTCTGTTCTGCATAGGGTTGCTGTGCATTGGTGCTGGCTGTACAGCACCTAACAGCAACAATATTTACGACTTTATTTGAGCTAGTTAAAGTCCTCTGAAGAGCATTTGACCTCAGATGAAAGATGACAACACTCGCCAAGTCTTGTGTTTGATTTGTCTGTCGTATAGTGCTTTTCTCATCTGAGTAAGGAGTTGCTTTTACTTCATCCAGCATTGTATACATACTACGTACAGGATTGCTTTTACTTCATACAGCATTAACCTTGCTTGAAAAACATAAAGTAAGATGTATTTTTTAAACCAAGTCCCCTTCCAGTCCTTGTCCTGTTTCTCAGAGGCAGAATAGACTCATTTGGTGCATATTCATCTCTGCACATTTTGGCCCCTGTCTGCACATCTGCCAAGGCCATTCTGACTACCAGGAGCCCTGTGTGTTACCCAGGAGGACTGGGCATCACATGTTTTCATTGCTGTGACCTTTCAGAAGTAGATTGTTCACCTTTTTACTGCAGTGTCTCTGTTGTTGTTTTGTACCGTCGAGTTAAAATCCATAGCTGTCCTTCCAGCGGGTTTTTGGAAGCAGTTAATGGCACAGGAGGAGATTGCACATCCTTCCACGAAGAAGCTGATGGATTTGAACTGAGTGCCTTTGGGACTGTAGCACAGCTTCTTGCCACTAGGCCACCAGTGCTCCCTAGGTAGGTTTGAATTGCTAACCTTTAGTTAGCAACTGTGTGTGTTAAACATTTGTACCTCAGTCCACCAGTTGTACCACAGGAGAAGGA